CCCCCTACTTCTCCCGTACAATTACCTAGCGACTTAAACGGTCGATATTCCAGCTGCTTTGCAGAATTTAAAACTCGAAGAGCCTTTCTTAGGCGAGCCTAAACTCGATGATCCTTAGCTCGACGCATCTGACCTCTGAGAACCTTAACTCCACGAGTATGACCTAAGCGAATCTTATCTACGCAATTCTTATCTCGATGAGTCTCATCTTGACGAGTCTGAACTTAACGAGTCTCATCTCGACGAGCTTGAACTCGAGGAGTATGAACTTAAAGAGTATCATCCCAACGAGTAGTATCTCGGAGAGCGTCGTCTCGACAAGTCTAATCTCGGCGAGTCTCATCTCAACGATTTTCATCTCAACGAGCTTGAAGCCAACGAGACTTTACTCGACGGATTTCATCTCGACAAGTCCTTTGTCGTAGTTTATCATCTCGAAGAGCCTCATCTAAACAAGCTAAATTTGACGAGACTTAACTCAAAATGTATCATCCTAAGAAGTCTTATCTCGGAGAGCTTTATCTTTGCGAGATCCCTCTCGACCAGTCTTACCTTGGAACGCTTCATCTTGACGAATCTTGTCTCGGCAAGACTTATCTCGACGGTCTCAAACTCTTCGGGTCTCATCCCGACGACCTTGAGCTTAACGAGTCTTTTCTTGGCGAGTCTCCTCTCGACAAGTCTTGAATCGTAGAGCTTCGTATCGACGAGTATAATTACGGCGAGTCTTATCACAGTGAGCTTATGTCCAACGAAACTTAACACGAAGAAAATTAGCTCGACGAATTGCGACTTTTATATAAAGCCGATAGGATGCACAAAAGCACTTTCGACTCTGTCCGATTAAAGGTGATAGGAAGGTTTTGATTACCTGTGGCATGGCCAGACATCACCACAGCATAACAATGGTCTTGCTTACGGCAATGAGCCAAACCTATTGTGTACGCATCAGATTCTGATAGAAGACGTCGGTATGGTCGAGCGACGATAATTCGAACTGCCTGATATGGCGTCAAGAACTATGTTCTCCCGAGGGATCAGAGACAGACCCGGTTAGTCGCATAACTAAGATTGTTAACGGCGTGCACGACGCACCAATCGCCTATCCCTTTCTTGACGCAGAATGTGGGGCTTATAACAATCAGACAACTACTTCTCAGTGCTTAAAATGGAAAGTAGTATTAAGAGTTAAGACTACTGCTAAAATGCATATATAAATCCCCTCATAAAGTGATCGCTCATCCAGAATGTTCGAAGAGCCCTGTCCCTGCAAGTTTCCATAAACACGACACACAATTCATGTCGTGGTACGTAAACCTCAACACTCCCCTTTAACTTGCACTCTTTTGAATTCCACTTACATCACGCAGACGTAGCAGTTGTGGTGCACTTAGTGGCTTCGTTAGGTAATCAGCAAGCTGCATAATAGACAAAACATGTTTGAGCTGAATTGTGCGCTGCTCAACGTGGCCTCGGACAAAATGCACCCTCAGCTTAATGTGCTTGGCTCTTGGCGTATATCCTTGATTTGTCGCAATGCTTATCGCCGACTTATTGTCCATATGCACAGTGGTTGCACTCGTGCACGCGGCACCCATTTCCATCAGCAAATAGCGAATCCACACAATCTCTTGCGTAGCTAGTGCTAATGACATATACTCAGCTTCAGCCGAAGACAAAGCCACCGAGCTTTGTCTTTTGCTCTTGTATACAACAACCGCGTTTCCGAGCAAAATTAAAACACCAGAGGTCGAGCGACGAGTACTTTTGTCACCTCCCCAGTTTGCATCACAGTAGGCGCAAAGCATGAGTTTATTGCTGTCCGATCTCTTGTATACAATCCCGTGTGATTGTGTTCCCATCAGGTAATGCAAAACGCGCAACGCTGCACGCCAATGCATCTTTTTGGCTTCTCCAAATACAGCGATAACACCGACATCGTGTAGCTGATATCAGGTCGCGTAGCATTCGCGATGTACATCAGGAAACCCACCAGTTTTCGATACAAAATGCTGTTTTTAAAATCACACTGCGAGTCAGTAGGGGTCAAATCTTGACCAGCGATAATTGGACTGCGAACTTCGTAAGCACCATCTTGTTCGAAATCCGTGATCATCTTCTTGATAAATTGGGTCTGTTTCAAAACCAGCTCTCCCTTTTCTAGAGAATAGTTCACCTCCATACCCAAAATAAATCGCGCAGCTCCAAGCGACTACAACGAGAAATGAGCTGCCAATTCTTTGTAAATTTCATCAGCCTCTGCATTCGACTTGCATCCGATGAGAATATCATCCACATACAGCACTATGTACGAAAGTGACTTGACTTTAGTACTGGAACGTCGAACAAAAAGACAAGTGTCCGCACGACATTGTTCAAAGCCTAAAGTCACATATACAGAGCATATCTTCTTGTTCCAAACTGCTGCGACTTGTTTTAAGCCATACAAAATTCGTCTTAGCTTGCAAACCAATCCAGACGTAAATTGTATCCCTGGTGGTGGCTCCATGTAAACGTCTTCTTCCAAGTCTCCATTTAAAAAGGCTGTTTCCACATCAAATTGTCGTATCACATATTTCATACTGCAGCAAACCGCAATAAACGTGCGAATTGTGTCTGAGCGCGCAACCGGTGAGTACGTATTGAAGTAATCAAAACCATGCGTTTGCAGGTATCCAAGAGCAACCAAACGCGCCTTATAACGCACAATTTCACCATTTTCATCAAACTTGTGCCCAAAAACTCACTTGTTTCCAATAACCTTGACACCAGACGGGTGGCGAACAACAACTCATGAGTGATTGCGTTTATAAGCTTGAATCTTGGTCAGAATTGCTGCTTTCCACTGCTTTGACTCTGATGACTGTATTGCCTCGTTGTAAGTCGTGGGTACAACAGTGGCAGAAAGCGAAATTTCGTAATCGTCCATACATTGACGTTTAGCTTCAGGCTCGACTACGTCAGCATCATCCTCATTATCCGCTACAGGTCCATCTGTCAAGAGTGGTAAATTTCCACGACCATGTCCAGAATTATCACTTTCAAGCAAACGAGGGTACGAATCGTCACTAAAACGTCTTCTACTCGACCCAGTGTATACCTCAAGTCTGTCCTCCTGGTTGTACTGCTCCTCACGCGGTACAATTGCATTTGAACGATCGCAAATGTCTTGTAACATGTGCGTGCGCTGATGACCCTTCTCATCAACGCCTCCACTTAGTGTGCGCAATTCTCTAATTTTTTCACCTGTCCGCTCATCTGTACGCTCCCCTTCAATCGGAACAATCTTTAAATTTTCCGACCTGTTGTACTCGCCATAGGCATCCACAACCATGTCTTCCCAGCTAGGGCTAACATCATCTGCTCCATCAACTTCCATGTCTTCCGCATCATGAGAATCCGCTGGAATGGGTACATCTACCGCATTTTCGTCTCTATCATCGTGGTGTTGTGTGATTTTGACACAATTTTCACTCACAACAATATTCTTGTATCGTGAAGGAGGCCTTTCGTCCAGTATGACAGAACGAGTCACTACCAACTGTTCTCGATCCACATCCCACACACGGTACGCCTTTTATGTCTCCGAGTAACCCAGAAAAATGCACTTGTTAGCCTTGTTGTCCCATTTGGTCCGCTTGCATTACGCTACTCGTGTATAACCAGTAGATCCAAATACACGAAAGTAACTCAAGTCAGGTTTCGAACCGTTCATCACTTCAAATGGACTCTTGTTGGGACGCGCTGTTTTCGGAATTCGGTTTAGTGTGTGCGCAGCTGTCATAACAGCTTTACCCCACCACATTCTATCCACCTCCATATGGCTCAACATCGAACGTGCCATTTCAGCAAGCGTTCTGTTCATTCTCTCGGCCAAACCATTTTGCTGTGGAGTATATGACACGCTTGTTTGGTGTATGATACCATGATTCACACAGTACTAGTTGAACCGGTAACTTGTAAACTCACCACCATTGTCACTTCTGATGCACTTGATCTTGCGATCCGTTTGTGTCTCCACCATCACGCGAAAGTCTTGAAAACGTTCAAACACTTGTGACTTCGCAGCGAGTAAGTACACATAGACGAATCGGCTATAGTCGTCGATAAATTTGAGGACATAAAGGGCACCACCCTTTGATTTCGGGTTCATTGGACCCATGAGATCAGTATGAACAATCTCAAGTGGTTGACTTGTTTTGACTGTACTCCCTGAGGTATGACGAAATGGACTGTTCGTCATTTTTCCACGTGAACAACCATCGCAAACACCTTCTTCAGTTGCCGACAATTGCGTAATACCGTCGCACGCCTTCATTACTTAATTAAGCTTGCTTGTCGGTACGTGACCAAGGCGAGCATGCCACGGTCCACTTTCATCATCTTCTTTGGTCGTGCTCTCGGCTTTGTACGCCTCCAATACCACATCCTGCTTCACATTCCACGCAAACAATTTTCCTACTCGATTAATCACTGTTACCGTAATCCCATTGGATGTTAGGACTGCTTGATTACGCTTGAACTTCACAAGCACACCTCGGGCTGTCAGTGCTGGTACAGATACAAGCTTCTTGTCCAATTTAGGCACATGAAGAACTTATTCAGCATAACTGTGCGGCCATTTTCCAGTACAAATCGCACCGACCCCGTTCCTTTCGCCATCAGATGCTGTCCATTCGCAACTGTGATGCTAATTGGGGTAGTCAGATTTTCATACTCCACAAAATCACGCTCGTCATCAGTCATGTGACGGCTTGCACCACTATCCAGCAGCCAAGTTGCACTTGACTCCAATTTCTTGCTTGATGCTGAGAAAACAAGTTCATCGCCGGATCTTGACTGTTTCACGCTGTTACACTGCAAACGCTTGTGACCATGTTTTCCACAAGTAAATCACTTGCCTTGAAATCTTGCGTTGTCGTTCCTTCGTCTAGAAGCTTGGTTTCGATCTTTATCGTTCTGACGGCCATGGCGTCCTCGGTTTCCTTGAAAGCGTCGATTCACATTGGGCTGAGCTTGTGCTTTAAAAGCAGTTTCTTCTTATCACGTTTCTGTAGCGTGTCATACTCCCGCCGGAGCATCTCTTTTGCGTCCAACAGCGTCACGTTGCTGTGCGCCTCAATTATGCGCACCATATCATCAATTTCAGATGATAAGCTTCCCAAGAGAAGTACTAGCTTCTCATCATCATCCATGCTGTCACCAGCAGCCCTGAGCTTCAAACAAAGCTCATCAAACTTCAGTAGGTGGTCCATTAGACTCGTACCAGTTTCCATCACAAATTCATGTAGTTGTTTCCGTAGTTGCACCCGATTGTGGAGGTTTCTTTTTCGCGAAGAATGTCTGCAATACCTCCCAAGCCTTAAGGGCTGTCTCACATTCCCGAACCATACACTGATAGGTGGGTGAGAGTAACTTCACCAGCACAGCCAGAGCCTTCATATCGGCGACTTTCCACTCGGATAATTCCCGCAGCACTGCCGACTCTGGCTTCACCATTACATGATCCAATAGATCCTTGCGTGCAAGGGTCATGCGCGCGTTAAATTCCCACATGAAGTAGTTATCATCCGTAAGGATATCATTGGGGGCCAACGCATTTGGGCTCATAACCTATAACAATCAGACAACTACTTCTCAGTGCTTAAAATGGAAAGTAGTATTAAGAGTTAAGACTACTGCTAAAATGCATATATAAATCCCCTCATAAAGTGATCGCTCATCCAGAATGTTCGAAGAGCCCTGTCCCTGCAAGTTGCCATAAACACGACACACAATTCATGTCGTGGTACGTAAACCTCAACAGGGCTGGAATGCGGTGAAGTGATTTGCGCACATGCCCGTCCAATCGTCGCCCGATAAAGCACATTTGTCACTTCAGCTGACCACAAAGAAGTGACCACTGTCGTGAAACACAGCACTTTATACCAGGAGAAAGATAGATCGCATGCCACACACCGCAATCTACTAGAAAAACTGCGGGAATCTTGTCGGAAAGACGTCAACGAAGTAGTGCGCAAGCTCAAAGGTATGGTTCTGCGAAGCGGCAAGCTCCTCCAGGAGTTCTTCAAATACCGTTTTTTGCGTGTAGATCGAAGATCCATTTCGTACGGGAGCTTATAACTGTCATGCGTCGTCGCTTGTAGCGAAAAGACACAATAATTTCATGTTCTTCCTTTCCGGATTATACAGCAAGTCATCAGAAAGGGAGTACAGACAGAAATCTACGTGATAGAGGACGCTGTACAAGGCAAACTAGTTATCTGCAAGTAATGGCGAGCAGGGCTAACGCCAGTAATCTTGACAACTTGGATGGTATCTAGTGGGATTGTCTAAGGAACAGGAGGTCCTTAAGACAAAAGTCTAATACGCGCGCGTCGCCGCCAATAGCGTAGTGAAAACGAAACGCGGATCTGGTTGTCACTTGATGTTGCGATAGCCACTACCGCAGCAGAAGTGTCTGGGAGCTTTGGCTCTGGCATGGTGTCCTCATCGCGAAAAATCACAGGAGCCACTACTCGCTTGTGACACATTGGAAGCCCCTGACCCGGTGCAATTTGGTGAGTAGGCATACGTGGTAGGCCTCTGATTTGATCTTGCGTTATCTTCTTTGCTAGACACGTTAATCCACTACTCGCGCGTGACTTACCGAAAGCCTATTCTTCGGTGCAGTTTCGGAAGTTTTATCATGCACAATACACAATGCTCGTGCATGAAGCTTATGAAGCCGCTAATTTGATATGTTAATAAAACGGTCATTACGCACGGGAGCCTCTGCTCGACCGCGAGAAGCCGCAGGCCACTGCCGCGGCACACATTCTTGATTTAGGAACCACTGTCCGGCCAACGAGTAGCATGCTGTGGAAAGTACTGCAAGTAAAGGGCTATAGCGCGCTTTACGAAAGGTGTCGGTCGTGTATTCTGAATCAACCACGGTAAAATGCTGCCATGTACTCGATAGGCTGTTACGACATGTAAGACATCGTTTACATTGATGTCACGTGACTTAACCGTGTATTTGACTCAATCGATGTCAGGACGATGTCACGTGACTTAAATGTGTAATTGACTCAATCGATGTCAGGACGACGCCATTCCAGCCATGAAGTACCGAAAATGCAGTCGAACGATCCTTTCAAGTCACCGACCTGAAAGTCGTCTCTTCTTTAGAGGCCATCAAACTGGTAACGAACAACTGTTGAAAGTGGTGGTGCTTCTAAGGCTCACTGTCAGCATAACTGACGATCATCTTCCCTGAGATCTCACGAATACTATCGTACGGGAAGAATCTTGGGACTGTTTCCGCGAACGAAGTTGTTCGTCGCGCCCGAGACCAGCAGTGCACGAAGTGGGCAGGCAGCTCCGTTCCGTGGTCACTAAGAATGATTAAGCGCTTGTCATTACTAGAAGTGGTGGCTTATTGGTGCGCATTCAGCGCAGTGGGACTGGGAGGACGTATTTATCCCTAAGTAACGGTCCTCACGGTTCGACTAGTATTTTGCCTTACGCCTACTAATTGCCTCTGTTGGAAATAAGAGTAATATCAGAGTGAGACACGGGTTTAAAAAAATAACAGTTCGTTGTATGGGAACAGGAAGTTGTTACAGTTGACACTGGTAAGGTCGTTATATTAGAACGGATTGCACTATTAGTTTAGGAAAGAAGACCAGTCGAAACACCTCAACTATAGTTAGTCATCATTTTACCTTCCAGTACGCAAGTGTGCTCAGGGAAACACATTTTAACAGGGTTGTAAGCCTAAAGCTAATGAATAACACAAATGAAGGAGTGCCTAAATTGGGGCAGCAACGATTGGCAGACATACAAATGGGCGATGATTACTGTCTTGAAGAAGAAATGCCTAAAATGATATTGCAGTTGGTGACTTGACCAAGGCAATGATTGAGACTGCTTCCGCAGAAAAGCAAAAAGAGTTCGCGAAAAAAGCAGCTAAATTCATGCGGACGACTGGTACGTCGTTGCCTCCAGAAGTCCTTCATCAGATATGCGACAAGCAGACCGGATCGGATATGTGGAAAGAGCTTTGCAGTCTGTACGAAGGGAAGCAGAACTAAGCATTTAGGGCATAAACGATTTGTCGTGTGTAACATGAGCTGTGAAAATACGAAGTTAACACCTGGAGGAGATGTGAATCTATGTATGTGCAAGATGTTTTGCCTTAAGCGGAATTGGCTATTACGAAGCACACGGTGAAAGATGATACTATGGTTGACATGCTGCTTAAGAGTTTACCAGATCAGACCGAATTCGAGCGGCTCAAGTATTTGATCTATTGTGGTGCAGACCCTAGTATATACAGCGGCTCGAGTTCGTGAGCTGATTCTCGCTGCGTCTGTCAGACAAAGAGAGTTCCAAGGCAAACGCGGTGAACAGGAAAAGAAGGTTGGGTTTTCGAAGTAAAAGTCACACATTTGGTGTGGACCGAGGTGCCAAACACCAAAATGGTGTTCGTGAATCAAGAAATATTCGAACGTGTTACATATGCGGAAGTGACAAACACCTCGAAGCTAACTGCCCCCAGAAGACCCAAAATCCAGACAGACCTGGATCGTCGGACCAGAAGCAAAAGCTGCGAGGACACTTCACACTATGGCGTAAAGGTCATGCAAAGGGTGATGGAGATGCGTCTATCCAAGCGAGTCCTAGGATGGCTTCGAACCTGAAAAGAGGTTTGAAGATCTAAGTAACAGATGCTTAGCACCGCATGAGATTCATGGTAATGAAACCACAAGATAACGGATGATACAGAAGACGCATCGGATATCAGCCACAAGGATGATGTGGATAAGGGTAACTATGCAGTATTTTGACATTGCGTCAAATTCACACGTCATCGGAAATAGAGCGCGCTTTATACGTTCTCAGAAGTGGGTACAATTTGCATAGCTTACACGTGGCGTGGTGCCAAATTTTGTATCGTACGTTTCCGGTAGGGGACCGTAGGTTTGGTAACGAAGTGGAAGGGGAAACATTGGCTTTTTTCCTGGATAATGCCTAAAACATCCCGGAAGCAGAATACCAATGATTTTTTCCCAGGCCTCGCATTTCACCAGATTTTTATATTTTGAACTTGAGCAAACCACTTTAGTCTTTTCTGTCACATTGAACGAGCGGGCGTTGGCTGCAGCTAGACCGCAAGAGGATAATTTGAGATTCAAATCGGCGCTTTCACTTCAGGGATATGATTAGTTTTCACAGCGTGAAGCGCTGTGCATCTACACGATGGCCGATGGAGTAGGGTCATTGACATTTTGGCGTGAGAGACTATGCCACACCTTTCCACAGTTTCTGAAAACCCTGGTGGACAAAGGACTATTACGAGGCATGATGCTTACACAAAGACAGCAGCACATGTGCGACGCATGCCATTGGGACAGCAAAAGCGACAGACGCATTGGAAGAAGATTGATCGCGGGACAAATGAGCCAAATAATGTGGTATATGCGAATTTGCTAATACCGGGACAGTCAAAATCAACTAAGATTGCGGCAGTGCTGGTTATTTTGGATGGTTTCTCAAGATTTATTATCATAAAGTTACTCACACGCAAGGAAAGCAAGATAAAAAATCAGCACATGAAGAAGTACATTCTATGGGCAGAACGGCAAGCTGGTCAATACATAAGCTATATGCAATACAAAGTGAAGCAAGTACTGAGTGACAAAGGTGGCGAGTTATGCAACGTTGCGATGGAGGCTTGATATTGCTCGAAAGAAATTTGTGCACGTATAAATTGAACTTAAAAGCTCCCAGCTGAACTTGTGTGAGAGGACCCATCAGTCGATCGAAGGCATGGCGAAATCGACTATGGCCCATGCAGGCTTTCCCCGAAGCCTATGGACTGAAGCTATGCGTAATGCAGTGTACGTTACAAATCGAGTTTACAACAAAAGCACGCAGAGAATTCTATACGAGTTGATGTTGTTTGGAGAAAAATCTGTATTATTATAATTACATTACGTTTAGTTATCTAAAATTTAAATTGGAGATACTATTTTAATTTCTGTTAAAAAATAAAAAAATTACAAATTGAAACATCAACTAATGATATACTCCATATCAGTAAGGTCGGAGCTCTTGCATACGTACATATACCAGTATCTTTAGGACGCAAGAAAATGATGTGCATGTTAAAATTGGATTTGTTCTCGGCTTTGCAGAAGACGTGGTAGGATGTAAGGTATATTTACCCGACAACCACAGTAATGCATTTGTCTCGGATCTACCTGTCACC